ACTTTGCCTTTTGCCCTTTGCAGCCCAATCTAAATTATTGCCACCTCCCCTCCCACTGTCACTGCTACTCTAGGACCCAGGAGCCCACCAGGCTGGGCACCCCATGGCTAGAGTCAGTCTGTATTCTGATCCCATAGGTGAGAAATAACCCACCATTCCAGTCATCTGATTGGCTAAACATTCTAAGTGTCTGAAAATGAGAAGAAAATGTGGGTGTTTCTTTTTTCTTTTTTTCTTTTTTCATCCATACCAAAGAATAATGAAGCCTGTGGTTAAGAATTTTAAGCAGCAGCTTCAGTCAGGCTGGGTGGTTTATAGAGATTAACTTACCCCCTTGGAGTGTTCAGAAACCAACCAGAAGGCTCTCCCAAGCCAAGCAATTTTATAATTAAGTGATAATTGTTGTTTGGAGGATTTTTTTCCTGGGTAGCCTAGAGAAAGATAAACAGCTGCAGGAATCAATAAGCATCGAGGTCATCGGCTGAATTATTTACTGATTCTCTGCTATTTATCTCAAACTTTCCTCTCTACAAGGAAAAATTGTGTCTACTTCACAGATGATTTAAAACATTCCTGGTTTATTTTCACGGTTGTTGTTTCTGTCTTTACCTTTTTTTTTTTTTCCTATGTAAAGTATGAACATTTATTTCAGGCTTTAGATCCCAATCAATTTCAAAAAACAATCTGATTTCTCTCAAAGTAGCCGAGGCCTCCATATTAAGATGATTTCACGGAGGCTGAAGGAGCACATTTCATCAGGCTTAGCATAAAGTCCCTGATGCCCACTGTATCCCAGCCTTAGGAAGGAAAAGAAACAAAATTCACCACCATAGGGCTGAACAAATTGTGCACACACTAATGTAAACGAGCAGCTAAAACTTGGCAACTTTTTTTTTAAGTTTGTTTTGTAGGTTTTTTTCCCCCATTTTCTTTTGCTACCCAGTATATGCAGCACTTGTGAACTCCCAATGGGTTCCCAGCTTTAAACATATTAAACGTCCTGAAAGACTATTTAATCATTCAAGAATCTAAAAAAAGACCAACTGTGTTTCACTGTGAACATTCTGGATAGACAAAGTGAGGCGGGAGTTTGGGTTGTTGTTTTGTCTTTTTTTTTTTTTTTAAAAAAAGAATCAATACAGTGATGGAAGGGTAAAGAATGCAGGAATTCAGACATTCTGTGGAGGGTTACTTTCTCTCCATTAAAGGTCCGTAAGAGGAGCAAACTGAGATCCATAAGGGGAGTCAGCAGGAGCTGTGTTTGTTTTCCCCACCCCCTGTGAATAGGTTTTTGCTGAGGGGCCACTGCTAGGTCCCCACTTGCTCCCCTCCCTTCGGCGGGGCAGTACAGGGGCACTGAAGGAGCACGTCACGACTCCTC